TCAAGTTTTTGGGCCCTAGATACCTCAGCTTCGGCCCTAGCTGCCTTCAGCTCCTCTGCAAGGGATGTTGTCTTCCTCTCTGAGGCGGTGGTCCTCATCTGGAAGTCAGTGAGGGCCTCCCTGCATTCAAGTGCAAAGCCAAAAGTCCTAACACTTTGGCTCATAAGAGCCCTTGTCAAGTCCGTGGCATCACAGGAGGGGGCATGCAACTGCCACCGATCCGTCCAGAATTTATAAAAACTCTCAATAGCGCCTTGGATCTCAGGTGGCAGGGCCTCTACCAAAGCTAGGGCCAAAGGCTTCTCCCTTCCGGCAAGGAAGCTCGGAGACTTCCCTTGCACTCAAGCAGGCCTTCGTCTGGCAGCCTCCTCCTCGACCACCTCAACTTCTCTCCTTGCAGCCTCCTATCTTGCCTCTTCAGCCTCGGTACGCCTTACCATTTCAATCTTAACCGCTTTCGAGGCGGCTTCTAGTAGCTTTGGCTACCCGGCTTCTTTGCCTTCATGGGACATAAAAGTCTCAAACTTGCCAGACGAGCTGGAGACATGCACCAGCTTCCTCTTCTTTGGCTCCTCAGGGACTTTCTCCTTTCCCTGAGGCTCCTTGGGCTTTTCTGGCCTCTGGGAGGTCCCTTCTTCGGAAGCCCGCAAGGTGCTATCCTTGGAGAGACGTTCAACTCTACCTCGGACCTCCTTGGCGCCACTTGACCTCGGCTTCAGGGGCCTCGCCTTGACAATAGAAGTTGCCCTCAGTATGGACGCCATGTCAGGAACTGGGTACTCCTTCCTCTTAAACTTATCTGCAGAACAAAGCGCGTCAGTACCAAAATGAAAACATAAAAATATACAAATGTGGGAGCTTCATACCCCTGGAGGCCATCAGCTTGAAGTCGAGGAAATAGCGACTTCTGTAGATGAGGTGATTGAAGTGGCGAAGCTTCAGAGGTCTCTTGTAAATGTCCTCTATCTTTTCAAACTCCTCCCTGCTCAGCTCGAACCTCGTACTACTATCTGCAAACGAGGACTCAACGGTTAGAGAAAAATTAAAGTTGAAAAGGGAATGCAAACTACTTAGGCTGGGAGACTCACGAGTTTCGTAGTACTGGGTCGGTACTGTGCAAGACAGGGCTTTGTCTCCCTCCACCGCCTACCACCTGCCCCTCACCCAGAACCATGACTTCTTCCACCCCTTTATAGAAAAAGGAAGGCCCACCACAAAAGGTGCATGGGCCCCCCAGGGAGTCAAGTAATACCACCCCTTCAACTCCTTACCTATTACCCTAGGCTAGAATAGGGTCATGGAGATGTGGAGAGGCATGTCCTCCCCAAGCGACACTTCCTTCCGTAGGAAGTACGAGCCGACCAACTGGCTCCACCCATTTGGCAAAACCTGAGTCGGCTACAACATGAAATTCCTCAGCATAGCCCTGAAGAAGGGGTGCAGAGGAAGACGCATACTTGCTTTAAACAAGTATTCGCTCACCGCCACGCACCCAGGCCTCGGATAACAGGCTCGCTCATGGGACTCGGACACTAACATCTCTACATATGAGGTACACAGTACCTCTCCCTTATCTCTCCCAACCTCTTGGACGTCATATTCAAAGGGACTCTAGACGCTCCCACTCTACATTGTAATCTACTTCCTCCTCGGTTATAGCAATCTGCTCAATTTTGGAGTCCCCCCTGTAACTAGACCCCCGACTAAATGACGCGACAGTGACCAACTCCATACCCGAAGTCAACTTCATCTCAAAAAATAACTAAGAACGCAGTAAAAGGAGGATTTTCTGTGAAAAATACCTACTGAAAAACTACACAAACAGAGTGTATCGGAAAAGCAGTGAACGGACTTGCCTCAACGTTGGAATGTTTAAGTTCTAAGAGACGAAATCAGATTGTAAGTGCTAGAAAATCCAAAAAATGGAAATTCTCTCGCCTTTTATAAAGGGCCAGGACGAACCCCCACCGTCAGATCGAAACTCATTCAATCTGAACCCTTCATTTAAAATCAAATCCGAGGCGTAGAATTCAAATGATTTTTCAAACCTACGCCTCAGATTTAAGCATGTCTCCCATGCACCTCAGCCAACGCGTCTGCTTCTAGAAACTCCAGCTGTCCTAATAATTACCATTTTAATTCGACGACAGTAGGCACCTTGCAAGTTCTAACGGTTCAGCCATCTTTCCTCGAAAAGATGCACAAAACATCAAATCATTGGCACAACTGCCAAGGAACAATTATTATCAATGAACCTCAGCTTCATCTTCAACTTTCAGCCGTCAAGCCTTGCAGGTTTGGTTTCCCATCCGCCTCGGCTTCATCTTCAACATTCAGCCGTCAAGCCTCGCAGGTTCGATTTCCCATCCACCTCGGCTTCATCTTCAACATTCAGCCATCAAGCCTCGCAGACTCGGTTTCCCAACCACCTCGACTTCATCTTCAACATTCAGCCATCAAACCTTGCAGGTTCGATTTCCCATCCACCTCGACTTCATCTTCAACATTCAGTCATCAAGCCTCGCAGGTTCGATTTTCCAACCAACTCGGCTTCATCTTCAACAATCAGCCATCAAGCCTCGTAGGCTCGGTTTTCCAACCACCTCGGCTCATCTCCATCTTCCAGGTCCGCGAGCCTCACACATTCAGTTCGTGCCACCACCTCGGCTTCTTCATCATTCACCCGTAACAACACATTTCTAACTCCAACCATAATATAAATATCTATACTTGGACTTGGGGGACTATTATTTATGGTTCAAAAATTCTTTCAATTTTTCCCCAACCCACTGACTTTACTTCATTGAAATCCACGCATTACATAAATGACTATATTTGGACTTGGGGGGACTATTGTTACGTGTTGTCATACTTGGCCAACCTACTTGGGCCTATGACCCACTCAATCCAAACCACGTGGCGCTCTAGCCGAGGTGGTTTGTATGGCCGAGGCCTGTGAAGATAGCCGAAGCCCTAAAGCGAAAATACTACATGAATGGCAGAAGCCCCGAATCCGAAGCCGAAGCAGAAGCCTCCAAACCATGAAGGAGCGTCTTCCATGATCACTTCTCCCAAGAGATCTTCTACGTAAAGATCTTGTTAGAATGATTGATGGAACGTTTGTCATAAGTATACATGTCAAGTCTTGTCATTAACATGGAGGTTCTACATAAGCAATAAAAGCGCAGCAAACTAACAAGTCAAGGATGATGCCTATGATTGGATGTTTGAATTAAAGAGATGAGGCCACGTGCCACCTCATCCAATGACTGTCATTTCACATGTACCACTATAAATACTTCCCTTGAGTAACATTGAAGGACTAATGCAAGAATCAATACAAGAAACCACACTTTACTATCTCTCTTTCATATTATCTTACAACACTATACGAGTTCGTACACATTTACATGCACATCCATGAGCACCGATTGGTAATTATTGTACAATCGGATTAAAAACATCCCGCCGGATTTCGAACGTTCTCGTCCCGCGTCGTAGAGCTACTCCCACGCCCCTGATTCGTTCGTTCTATACCATCCACGTGTCTTAGTGTGTAGAACCTTCGCTCACGTATGTACGGATGGGTCCGACATCTGTTGGCAACACATTTTGGGATCAACAGCATCTATCATCTATCATCTATGTGAAATTGTGAATTTTGAAGTTTTAATGTTGAGTTAAGTGTTGGACTGTTCACTGTTGGAAGACGAAGTTGGGAGTTGGAACTGTCTTCAAGCATTGTGTTCTATGATCTCGTTGACAAAATTCTTGTAGGTTTCCAAGATTTCTTCTTGTTTTCTAATGAGATTTTTCTTCCACTTGAGATCGGAAATCTTGGAAGAATTAACCCTAAATTATCTATGTTTGCTTTATTACCTCGATACATGAACAAAAATGTTCAGAAAACATTGTAATAATTACAATTTTTGAGAGCTGATTTTTGGATATAGCCCATAGTTTCTTTCCCTTTACACTAGAAAAATTTCTCGCTAAATATTGTGTCCCTTATTTTGGTGTATTTGGCTTGGCTCAAAAACTTTTCCGTAGAAATTCAAACAAGTTTTCTGTATTCATCCATCATCACCACTTTGTCGTAATTATGTATTACTTTTATTTCACCTTTACAAAATGAGAAATTCCAATAAATATGTAGTGACTGAAGTTCATTAAACTAATTTCATGTTCTTTATATATTATTTTCTTTAAAAAATAAAATTTATCATCAGCCTTGAATTTTTCTCTACATCATTTTCAATGGATTGGCATTTATGTTAGCAACAGGATTCTACAGAGCTCATTTCATCCTTCTTTTGTGTGTAATTTTGTCTTGAATCTGTAATTTTTCGAAAATTTTAATTAAAAAAATGTTAATTGAACAATTTGCAACTTTACGCATACTTTTAAATTAATTGTCAGTATATTGTTAATTGGAATCTTCATCAAAAACTACTAATTAGTCTCAATATGTTATTCATGTAGTCTTTGATAAAATATAATTTGATGCTTAATTTATGTTTTACGAGTTATTAACTTATTTCGGAGAATTGTGATTTATGATAAATAATTTATGTTTCATGAGTTATGATTAATCATTTGGGAATTTTTGCTTAGCAAATTAAGATAAGTGGAAAAAATTTATGTTTTATTTAATATTATTTAATCAAAATTTAATAAACGATCGGGCTATAATGATCGTTAATTGTCTACGATCAATGGATAATGGCCAACAGTCAAATTTCGCCCTAGCTGGATTTCGGTGCTGGATTCGCCACTACCTCCGCGGCAGCATTATCGTCTCCGTCACCAACTTTTGCCCTCCAGGCGGTTGGTGTGATCCTCCGAACCACCACTTCAATCTCTCTCAGCCCGTTTTCTTGCGAATCGAATAGTACAAATCCCGTGGCTTACAGAAAGTGATCTTTCGTGGAGTGTTTGTATTTCTTGAACCTTTACTCAAAGCCAATTATAATGACGGTCATTTTCTTCGTTTTTGTAAGGTACCCTGCAGGAAAAGGGAAGGTATTAGGTTCACCATCAATGGTCACTCATATTTCAATCTTGTTCTAATTACCAATGTGGGGGGTGCTGGTGATGTACATGTAGTGTCTATCAAAGGGTCAAGAACTGCCTGGCAACCAATGTCAAGAAACTGGGGCCAAAATTGGCAGAGTAATTCTTATCTCAATGGACAGAGTTTATCTTTCAAGGTCACCACTAGCGATGGTCGAACCCTCGCCTCTTACAATGTTGCCCCTCCGAACTGGTCCTTCAGCCAAACATTCTCCGGTCGACAATTCTTTTAGGGCCCACCACTAAAATTTTCAGCAGAAAAAAATTCATTATAAATTCAAGTAGTTGAAAAGAAAGTGTACGTCAATGTTGAAACTTGAAAGGACTTGTTTTAATAGAAATTATCTTTTAATTCCTGTTTATTGTGTACTCAAGATGTACTATATCCTTTGTATTCCAATAAGGATTTTGAGAAGAAATTATTATAATGTTGATATTCATAACATCTTTAGTAGTATTCTATTATTTTCTTAAAAGTGAAAAAGCAAAATTTTATTGTATCGATATTAAATTTTGCTATATTAATAAATTTCTGATAATCGATCAAGTTGCATGGAAAGGAAAATTTGATAGAGTCGGGCCCTTTCTGATCGTGATTAATATAGATATTTTGTGAGCAATCTAGACAAATTTACACTAAAATAGCTGAGTATAAGAGCATCTTCAATGCTTAAGGGGATAGCTAATGAGTGTTGCCACTTATGAAATTTTTTTAAAAAATTATCTTCAATGTAATTTAATAGGGAATAAGTAGACATCATTTAGAGTCATGTCTAAACACAGGAGCCACTTATACATGTGAATTCAATAAAATTTATAATTCATATGCATCATTGGATGTTATTTTATTTATTTATTTTAAATAAAATAAAAGCAACAATATTAGATTGTAGATAGAATTTACGCATTTCCATGACCTAAATGCATACCTTATCTTTTTATTTTAGACACTAATTTTCATATTGTACCTTTTTAGCTTTTGAGTTTTCCTTCTAAGTAAGAATTGAGCCTTGTGCATGTAAACATTTTTGATACTGATTAAAATTTTAAGTCAAAATTAACAATTAATATTAACATACACATTTCATGTGATTCATAACTTTTTAATCATACATTTTATTAACTTTTATTAAAATATTCTTAAAAACTCATTTTAATCTACCCCAAACGGGGGCCTAATATACTTTTAAAGAATTATGCTACTTATAATGCTGTTTGGTACATTTTTTAAAATGTATTTTCAAATGTATATTTTTTTTCATAAAATTAAGTTGCACGAGAACCCAATTTTTCACTATTTTTAAATAAAATACTACTTTTATGAAATCTATTTTAAAAAAAAAAAGAAAAAAAAAAAAAGCAAGCTACAACAAACATGTCCCTGGTTTATTTATAATTTATTTGGATTTCCAAAAGCCTTCATTATTTTTTATTTTTTATCTTTATTTTTCAGTAAAGTAAGAAGCACAGTGACATTAACTGCTCAACATTATTACATTTCCGTGAACTTATGTACTTGAATTTTGTCGGTGCCTTTTCTTTTATCTTATTTTTTCTTTTCTTTAGTCTCCGTTTAAATAAATTTTTACAAAATATTTATGAATAGGAATGTTAGCAAATTTCATTAAATGTATACTGAATGAATTAGTTATGAATGTAAAGTCGAAAATTTAAATTGAATTGTAAAAAATCATTTATGATTTGGTATTTAAATGGAGGCTTATTTAACGTAGAACATTAACGATGTTGGTTAAAAATGACATATTTACATGTTTAGTTCCCAATACCAACGAAGTTGATTGCAATTGTACCACTCTATATGAATTTTCAACTTCTAATGGTTGTCCAGCCTACTATGGCTCGACATTGTGGCCTTATGGGGGCCCAACCCCTATGAAACTAGGCTAGATAGAACCAAGTTTGTGAGTTGACTGTTCCGATCAAATCATCAACTTAAATAATCAACTAGACAAAATTCTTGCATTATTACGAACCAATTCTGGAAGAGAAAATTACACCTACACTTGTCTTCAACTTTCAATTTCAAAAATAAGATTTAAAATTTATTTATTCAAAAATCAGGTTGTAATTCAACTTTTTAATATCAATAATAATATTATTAAATTTCTCTTTCTATTCTCTCTATACACAACAGATCATTGTTTCTTTATTTACTCTTTCATCTCTCACTCCATTCTAGTATCTCTCTCTCTCTCACTCTCACTCTCACTCTCTCACACACACACACACTCTCTCTCTCTCTCTACAATTGTTTTTAGAAACACAATGTTGCCCTTCAAGTCTCTCTTTTGTGTCTCCACACAAGGATGGAGCCAAGATCGAACTACAGCGGGCTAACATGTAAAAAATATATATAAATTTACATATTAAAAAAATATTACTAAAAAAAAATTTTTTTGCCCTAAAAAACATTAAGTGGGCTGGATAGCGTAGCCCAGTCCTCCCCTTAGATCTGCCCATGTCTCCACAAACAATTGTCTCGTATCTACAGAGATGAAATAGGTTTGGAATAGCAACAAGGAAACAACGATTTCAAAATCAAATCCCAATTCATTCTACTTTTCACCTACGTGTGAATCGAATTATAGTTGATAGATTATCAATTTGAGATAGTTTTCAAAATTATAATCCTTCTTTCTGTTTAAGTTTTGTGAATTTCTTCAGCTCCAATGTGATTGAAAGTCCATATGGAACTGAAATTAAAGAGCAAGTGGTGTGATTTAATGGCCGAGATCACTATTATGCCTCCCACTCTTGACTCTATACCTAAGATTGATCCACAGATAGGTGCTTCCGTGTCTGTCTACTAATTTCATCTCCTAATTTTTGTTATTTTTAAACTTGAATTTACGTAATCTGTTTGAGACCCATTTTCCCACAAAACTCATTTTCTCCAACATTTTTTGTGGGCCCAGCTTGATTGAGTAGATTGATTCTTGTAAGGTGAGTGATTTGACTTTCAATAAATCTATTTCAATTTTTATTAATCCATTCTAATCATCCCCCTTTAATATTTACCAACCAAAAGTTAATGACATTTTTCCCATATAAAAACGTGAATTAATCTTTAAGTTCTTTTCGTCTTCAATAAAATGAGCATTATGTGAACAATAAATAATATATAACCGAAAAATGGGTGATTTTTGATTAAATTTATAATTAAGACTATAATTTGTATTTTTGTGGGCGATAAATAAATTGTGCCTAATTAATTAAAAAATTTTGGGATCGATGAATAAGTTTTGACCAATTACTTGATGATTTGTGATTGATAAATGAGTTGTAACCAATAAATATGTGTAATCTAGGTAATTGTGACACAAAAAACGAATATGTTTTTAACAATAAATAATATGCGACCTAAAAAAGTGTGAGTTGTAACTAAAATTTATAATTGTGACCTACATTTTGTGTCTTTGTGATTTATAAATAAGTTGTGATCAATTAATTTGATAATTTGTGACAGATAAATAAGTTTGACCAACAAAAACGTGTAATTTGGATAATTGTGATTAATAAAATTAATATTTTGTGATCAGTAAATAATATGAGGCCTAAAACGGTGAGATTTGTGATTAAATTTTATAAACGTTGCCTACAATAAATAAATTGTGACAAATTAATTTGATAATTTGTTATCGTTAAATAAGTTGTAATCAATTAATTTGATAATTTATGAGCAATAAAACATGCAATTTGGGTAAATGTTACCAATAAAATGATTATTTTGTGATTAATATATAATTTATGATCTAAAAAGGTATGATATGTGACTAAAATTTATAATTGTGATTATAATTAGTGTCTTTGTGATCGATGAGTAAATTGTGACAAATTAATTTGATAATATGTGATCAATAAATAAGTTGTGATCAATTAATTTGATAATATATGATCGATAAATGAGTCATGACTAATTAATTAGATAATCTGTGATTAGTAAATAATTTTTTACCAATAAAAAAAGAATAATTTAGGACTGAATTGTAATTGTGATTTACAATTGTATTTTTGTGATTGTGTCATTGTGTGATTTGCATCTGCATGTGATCATGAAATTATGTGTTATTGTGACTTATTTAATTAAGTTATAGATCACAAAATTTTATCAGGAGTCAAAAAAATGTGACCACCTAATTTTGAAAAAAAAAAATCATGATTTCAGGTGGTTACATTTTGTTTTATTTGATAAATTTTTGTGACTTACGATCACATATTAATTATAAATCACACAAGATCACACTCACAAAAATAGAATTAAAGTCAAAATTATATTAGCAAATAACACGTAACGGGTCAGGTTCTATTTTCCCCACTCCACGTCTTCTTTTCCATTCACATTCGCATCAATTTCCATCTCTTTTTTCCTATTTTCTACAAAAGACCAATCTCCATTTTCCACTCTTTCTTCCGCATCTCCTGGATCCGTATGTAGCATAAATCTCAAATCCTAACTAAAAGAATCCATCCATATTCATGAATGGCATCCTCCGTATTTTGATTTAGAATAACACCATCAAGCACCGCCACCATCAAATTGGTACCATACTATCCTTCAGTCATTTGTATTAATTTCTTTATATTCATAACACTTCCCTTGAGATTTGTACGCATCCCCAAATCCATCTGAGCCAATAAAGAATATCATTGTGGTAGCCATTAGTGGCTTCAAGAAGATCTACAAAATTGAGTTTCCTTGAAGGCTTTTTGAAAGTTGCGAGGTTAATGTTTCAAGCATTTTCAATATTCGCTGCGTTCCAATTGCCAATTGCTGTTGCTGAGTTGGGGAAGCTGTGTAGATTGCCAAAAGGATTGCTGGTGGTTATTGCGTATTCGAAAATTTTGTAGAGCGAGAATTCTGCAATTGGTGTTGGTATTGTCAATTGTGTTAGTGGATATATATGTTTTAAAAAGAATAATTAAATCCGATTATTGAAAAATAATATTTAAGACCTGAGTTTTGAAGATGAAACTTAAAATGTAGGGTTGACGTAATTTTCCCTGGCAGGAATGTGGGGGTATATCTCCCTTAGTTGATGGATTTGGGGCAGTGGTACGTGGGCCAACTTACAAGGATAAGAGGTTGGACAGGTTTGTCCCAAGTGGACCAACACCAGAAGGGCCGAGGATTGGGCGAGACACAAATGGGCTTGGGTGGGACGGTCATGGAGCAGACTAATTGGGCCAGATTTTGGCACCATTCATTTCCTGCTTGAGAGAAGGAAAGACTATGATCGGAGCACGGTCCAAGACAGGTTTTAGGAGGATGAATAAAGTGTTGGTCCTATTTCAGAATAGATAAGGGCTTGTTTGTTTTATAATTTAAAGGGCAAAGCCAAATTTTAATTTTAATTAAATATTTAATAGAATCAGCAATTGCCAACTTATACATTACTCATTTCTATTTATTTATAACTTTAACAACATATAATTTCTCCTAAACAAGCACAAGAGTAAGGTAAAAAATATATATATATGGGTAAATAGCACTACGGGTCCGAACTTTTGAACTTTGTGATAATGGGATTCTGAAGACCTGAACCTTCAATTTCTAAAACTTGAGGTTTCAAACCATTTAAGTATGCACCCGATGTCCTTTTATGAACCTAAATCATTAATTTGAGTATTAGAAAGTCAAAATTTAAAAAAAAAAAAAAAAAACTATTGTAATGGACCGCCCGTTCGGTCCTCGAGTTACCACAATCCATGGGCAGCCTTTTCCCCATACATGCGGCCAACACAATATAAGGAGGTGGGAAGCATGACATGGTACTTGTATATGAAAGATCATTAGTGTACTTTCCAGAATTTAGCAATAAATCCACAATAAGCAATCTTGTCATGCTACATGAATAGGGAAGTTTTATAGTTACGTGACCTGTATAACCGTAGGGGATTTCCTCCCTATTTTGCAGTTGACTTCAACGACCCAAGTTTTTTCCGTATCTTTTGACATAGGTCAATGACATTGGATTTAAGTTCAGTAGACGGCATGTGGTCGCAAGAGGAAGTTGTGTTGGTGGAAGCATAGTGAACAACAGAACCTGCATGTCAAAGATGGTTCTGGCTAACACAAACTTGGTAGTGGTTGTGACACCATTGGAGGTTCGACCCATTCTTGGTGGTGATGAGAGTGAAAGCAAATGAAACAGTAAAGAAAATCATAGAAAAGTAATAATAATAAACTCCTTATCATGTTGCATTTCATTTACGAAGTTTGTCTAGAAAACAACAATATATTCTCATATTTAAATTATTGACTCACTTTTTCTACTTCCCGACTTGTAAAATAATAGTCTTTACTATAAAAATAACAATATATAAGATTTTGTTTACCACACGATAATAAAAATCTGAATTTTTATAATTTTTAGGAGAAATTTCTAATTAGCATGTCATTATTAATTTGATAAATGTTGGTTGAGTCTTTGACCAGGGAAAAGTTCGGTCATATGGGGTTAATGTGTCAGCAAAGACTCTAATTCTTATTCCATTAATAGACAGGTTCGTGTAAGTATAGCAACTCCTTGGCTGCACCTGTGACTACGGACCATTTCCAACTTCTAAAATTAAATTTTAATGACACTGCCACACTGCTTTTGTTTGTTGAGTTATAACTTCATCAATTATATCTGTTAGTCGTACGTACGTGCCTGTAGATTTTATTTATTTATTTATCATAATTAAAAGCTAGAAAATAGTGTACTTGTTATGATTAACAAACACGTTACTAAATAATTAACTAACTGTCTCAGTTAAATGATAATTAATTAATTGTTCCTTAAATGGTAACGAATTTAGAATAACAATCAAAATCATGACCATATTAATGGGATATATAATAAAACAAATACAAGAATAGCTTAAAAAATTTAAACTAAAATCAATAATTAATTTTAGTAATATATTTAATGAGATTCACAAAATTTATAGAATTTTATTTAAATCTACTAAAAATTTGATTTTTATTAAAAACAAATAGAGACTAAATAAATTGCCTATGCGACAGCTTTATTTGAATTCCATATCATCCATAGAAGTGTATCACAACTTCTCTTTAACGACAATTCTAGAAGGAAATTTTATCCAAAATCTTAGCTGTCAACGAGGTAGCTTGTAGAGGATTACTCCCAAAAGAACATTGGAGTTTCAATGCTTTCCGACCAAAAAAAATTGAGTTATTGGGGATTCTCGCCTTCCCCATTTCGGGTCTAGCTCGAATAAGATTATGCTTTGGTAGACTTTCCTAGTCAATCTAATATTCTATCTATTGGACGTCAATAAAAGAAAAAGTTTCGCATTTATACACTAGTTGTAGAACGTATATTTTGTACAAACACGTGGAGCGTTTTTTAAAGGTTCATTTGACATGACTTTTACTTTTGATTCTTGTAAAAGAACTTCCTAAAACAATTACCTTAATTTTTATTTGAAAACTAACTTATAAAAGAACAACATATTTCGAAAGTACTTTTGAAGGAAATTAAATAAGACCAATTTCATTAACTAGAAGAAGCACTTTAAGAAACTAAAAAAACAAATCCAAAAGTAACTTTAAATTTGAAAAGCTCATTTTGACTTCTCAAAAACTATGACAAACGAGTCAATTTTCGAGGCAGGTTTTACCAAATAGTCATAAATACATCTTGAATTGCTGATGTTTCAAAATCAATAAAGTTTCTATTGCTTGGTTTCATGAAAAAGAAAAAGAAAAAGAAAAAATTGGATTGTTAATGTCATAGCTTCATTTCTTGTCCTTCAAACAGAAATTCAATTGGTCTGACAAACGAGTCAATTTTAGAGGCAGGTTTTACCAAATAGTCATAAATACATCTTGAATTGGTGATGTTTCAAAATCAATAAAGTTTCGATTGTTTGGTTTCATGAAAAAGAAAAAGAAAAAATTGGATTGTTAATGTCATAGCTTCATTTCTTGTCCTTCAAACAGAAATTTAATTGGTCTCCTACAATCCAAACCTAGTCATATGGGTGCATAACTGGAGTGGGGTGCGTGGGGTTCTGTGTCAAAGAAATTATATGTGCATACATGCAAATATTATCATCAGTGTAGTGTTTTATGGTGACCGAGAATAAGTCAAATTAGAGGTCATTGCCTGTCAGTCTGAGGCAGGCCCTCCTTCTCAGTACTGGCAGTGGCAGATGGAAGAGTAAATCGTGTGGATTTTGGGGAAAAAATTTTAAACACTTTTTTTCTGCTGAAACCCTCTGTCCCTCAAATCTTTTTCTCTTTAACCCCTGCCTGTATACTCGTTTTTCTTGCATTGCATTATTCTAACCTTTTCTCACCACATTACAGCATATAATCCATGCAACCACAAAATGACATCACAATGGAGTCTTTACCAGAGAATTCGAATGAGAAATCAGATTTCCAAGAGAGTGAAACGGTGAGAAGACAGTCTAAAGTATGTACCAGAGGCCATTGGAGACCTTCGGAGGACGAAAAACTTAAACAACTCGTCGCCCATTACGGCCCACAGAACTGGAACGCCATAGCTGAAAATCTCGAAGGAAGATCAGGTAATATATTTTGATTAAGCTTGTTAGGGTTCGATTTTTTAATGTTTTTTTTCTTGGTTTTTAAGGTAAGAGTTGTAGATTGAGATGGTATAACCAGTTGGACCCGAAGATCAATAAAAGAGCTTTCAGTGAAGAAGAAGAGGAAAGGCTAATGGCAGTTCATAGGGTTTTTGGCAACAAATGGGCGATGATTGCTAAATATTTCCCTGGGAGAACAGATAATTCTGTGAAAAATCACTGGCATGTTTTAATGGCTAGGAAATATAGAGATCAATCGAAGTCCTACAGAAAAATATCAAAATGTAGTGAGGATACAGCAAATGAAAATGCATCTACCAATTCCTGCCTTTTTCATTCAGGCCATGATTACAATCCGACTCGACCAAATTCTTTTTCGGGTTAGTCCGAATACCATCTAATACTGCATACCGACCGAGCATGCACTGATTATGTTGTTTATTTGCAGGCAGTAAAAATGGGAATATTATGGCAAGAAATGGCTCAATTTTCAGTAATTTCAATCCCTTTCATCCGTACTCTTCATTGCTGATGGAAATGCAGGATGATTTTCCTCACTTTTCATGCACTGAACCATCTCCATCTCCGTCGCCATCAGTTGCTGAGTACACAGACGCAAGCCATTTAAATACTAAGGCAACACCTCCGTTTATAGATTTCCTTGGAGTTGGAGCCATATGAAAGATATGCATGTCCTTAGTTTTATCAAAAAATTTGTGAATGCCTTTGTGACTATTCCTTGTAACAAATTAATCATTGACAACATCGAACTTATGAATTTCTCGTTCTCCATCTCTCAAGTTTATCTATGTTGTTAATTAATCAATTCACAGCATTTGTGTGGGGCCCTCAAATATATATGTGAAAACGATACGTATCTACACATGTTGGATACAAAGTACTATGTAAGATTGAAACAAACATTATGCACCCGTTTGGCCCCATTAAATTTAATTTATTTTTCTCTCATATTTTCTATTACACAATTTTTCATAAAATAATATTACACGAAAACTTTTTATTCTTTTTCAACCATTCATTTTTCAAAAAAATAATATTCAACTCATTTTCATTTCAAGAAATGAGGGCCGAATGGGGGCTATAACAGATGAGACGTAGTTTCCTTTTCCTCCTAAGTGGTTGTATTTTCTCAGAACTTTATTTGGGTTCAAATCTGCCTAGATATACAATATAAGGCTATACTCGTTTGAAACTTGTTCATATTAAGTGGATTGCACGAGAAAATGGCTGCTCGGCTCACCCCATTTAATATCACTAGTTCAATATGTGCCCCGTTCTTGAGTATATGGATTAGATTAGATTGAATGGAATAATATAATCGGCAAGATTTTAATTTTTTTCCATTATTCAAAGTTGACAAAGTTTGCTTTATGATTTCTATATTTTGCTTTCAGGGGTTTAGGGGCCCTTGTTACCTATTAGCTGAGACACTGCACAACTCACGTGAGGGTTGGTTCGAATTTACTGACATTCATGGCTAAACCTTGTTAAGTTTGTTGGAATGGAGACAAAACTGCGTTCTCATGAAATTCATGAACTTTCTTCTCTCTAGTAAAGAGTATAACTTTTGCTTTTTAATTGAAACTCTCAAAATTTTCACCCTCTAATATTTTGATGTGTGAATTTAGTGTCATCTTAGTTTGATAATCAAATTCTTCTTTATATTTAAATTAATCATCTTATTTTTTGAGGAGTGATTATAATTTAATTATTTTGTTTCAAGCGTACTTTTTATCCACATTTTTCGTAGAACTGGCTCACAACTACTGTCTACTTCTTATTCACAAGCTTCATAAAATCTAGAATTCATAATTACTTAAAGTTTACTTTAGTCACTTACAAAACATACATTTCATTCGATCAAATATATGTTTTTATTTACTCATTTTGTGGGATTCACATACTCATCACTCATAATCACTTAAATTTTGATTTGAGCTTTCCCAATCATAAAAATTTACTTTCTTAATCAGTAAAAATAGTAAAATAACTAAAAAAATTCGTTAGATTTGTTAGGATAATTAACACAAAACATTCTCATCTTTTGTTCTAATTATACAAATCGTTCTTATAATTTCAAACTTGACATTTTCACTTTTATTTTAATATTTTCTTGTGAGATTGGTCCTTTCCGACTCATTCCGTCAATTCCTTCAGTGAAATATAGGTAATTGACATAAAATGTCTATATCGTTTGTTTTTATTGCACAAAGCATCCCTGTCATTCACATTTGGGCCCTAAGTTTAACATTTCTTCGTGCAAAAGGTCCTTAGCATCTATTTTCTTTATTAATGAATCGAAAAATGATTAATTTACCCCATCTTTAAATAAACAAATAGAAAAGAAAGAAGTAACATAAAAATTTATAATTGCAGCTAAAAAGTTCCATATTTCAAAAAAAAAAAAAAAAAGTACTAACGAATGTAAAGTAAAATAATTTAAAACATACTTAAAAAGAAAAAAGAAAAAAAGTCCATCTTTCCAATTAACCACACCTTCCCTACCCCTAATGTCCATCCCCTACTCTCCTCCCCCGACAAAATAATTAAAAAGGGAATTAAAAGTATAAAAAAGATAAGAAGATAATTAAAAATAGAGAAAAAAAAAATTAAAAAAAAAAATTCTTCTTCCCCATCCAATTCTACACCCTACCATTAGCCACCACCATCACCCATTCTCCTAATCCCACTATGACACCATCAAGGGATTTAACTACTTTTCTGTAATCGAGTTTTGTGTTACTATATCTTTTTGTTTTTAGCGAAGTTACAAGAGTTTTTGTTTTTAGAAATTTAACCATTTTCAATAAATTCTTGTTTCTATCTTCTTGTTGCTAATTACACACACTCACTCGCTGTATCAGCTTTTGAATTTCTCCAATTTTGTTTAAAAAAAATTTGCCTCACAAAACGATGTTTGACGATGGAATTTCTTCTTTTGATTTGGGGATTCATTCAAAATATTAATCCAAACATCAATCTTAACTGTCCTAATACAAACCCGATTAAGAAGAAAAGAAATCTTTTTTTTTTAAATGTTTTTTTTCATATATTTTAAATTTGTTTAAGTGAAACTCGTTTGGACTTGAAAGATTTAGGATTTGGATTGCAATTTTTTATATATATTATTTCTCTCTTTTCTACTTAAAAAAAAAAAAAAAAAAGGTTGAACCTCAACCTTAAAGGTCTCCCACCGCCTCGCCCCTAGAACATTGTGAGAGAGGAGGGCAAATTACTTATTTTACAATGCTTTAATAGAGAAAGTAGATGGCAATGACATTTTGAACAAAGAAAGTCGATTTGAGTGTCCAAAGGCTAAAATTATAATGATAGGGATGATTTGTGCAATGAAGCATACAATAGTGACGTTTTATGTCAATTAGCGTATTTAATTGAAGGAATTGATTAAGTGAGATGGAAAGGATTAGCTCCGCAAGAAAAAGGATGAGATGAGAGTGCAAAAGACAAGTCTAAAACAATATGAACGATTTACGCAATGAGTACAAACGGTAGAGACTTTTTGTGCTAATTATCTGATTTTTTATGTTGTCTAGTTAGATTTTCTGTAAATGATTTTTCTTTTAATACTTTTGAATGATACATGAAATATTATCTCCACTTTTTATTTTAATAAAATAAAATATAAATGGGGCATTAAACAGATATATTTTTATATCCCATTCCATCGAGTTGCTCGAAAATCCTGGATAGAGTGGAAGACGGGGATGACTCGTCCTGTTGTCATTCCTAAGTTGATCTACTTGAATTTTTAAGGATTAAATAAAAGGAGCCGCAATTTTCATCTATCATTCTTATATATCAATCACACTCTAAATCTAAACCTATTAAAACTTTTAAAAAAATTATATTTATAATCGTTATGTTCAAACATTATCCTTAATAAATTTATTCATTTAAATATTATATATCCACACAACTTTTATATATATACCTCATTCCATATCTATTCCTATTACAATTTCAAAATTTTAAAAAAGTCACTATATTCATCTCCATCATATTCCAACATTACTATTATTAAATTCTTTCATTTAAAATCTATACATCCACACAGTTCAACATCATACTGCACGATAATGGAAGACCGATGAAGATTGGAAGATGCCACTCAACTTCCGAAGACGTTGTTCATGATAAATTTTATTGTAGTTAAGTTTTTTAATTATAAATGTCGCTCCTTTCATAAATTTTGAATTTTTATCTATTTTGCCTGAATGTCTTCATGCTTCCACGTGTCAAATAGAAAAGATGAAACTGCATCCAATGTAGGCGAGGATGGGTGAAAACTCTTTTGTTGGGAGTGTCGCCAATTTACGTACAACTTAGGATGCCACATTGTTTTGTGAATATGTGAGTGCACCTCTATGGCTCTATCCCCATCATTATTGACATAGATTTTACCATTCAAACCATGAAATGGTTTTAAGGCATTTGAAAGCCACATTGACTCTGCAAAGCCATTACATTTTTCCAGCTATAGTTGGACTTACATCTTGGGATGTGAGATAAATTGGGTGCCTCTATGCGATTGGTGCCCGCTATTGAACTGTCAAAATTTTTGGGACAAATTTGTTTTTTTCTCCTTATTTGTTTCAATTTTGTTATAGGTACAAATTAGGTTGACAGCATGTGAGGTGACGAACATATTTATCGTTAATTTTAACAATATTTGAAATAATCAAGGTACGAAATTTTACACGTAATTGAGTGTCAACAATCAATGTACAAATAGTATAATTCCATTCGTTTTGACTTTAGTTGAAAAATCTATTTCATAAATATTAGGATTTTAGTTAAGGCCCCGTTTGGTAGCCATTTTTTCAAAATGTATTTTTTTCTCTTCTTTTTAATCATACATTTTTTATTAAAATAATATTATACGCAAATAAAAAACTTTTACTTATTTTTCAACCACATATTTCATATCAATTTGCTATTCTCAAATACATTTTTATATAAAGATGGCTATCAAACACCCCCTAAATGTAAAGTCAAAAAGAATATAAAAGATGAAAAAGTATTCAATGGTGCTAATTATGCACCCCTTTCCAATTCATTCATCTCGAATTCTAGTTTGTGGCGCCCAGCATATATAAGCGTAACAAGAGAGAATCCCTTAGAAACAGTTGCACTCTGGCGCCAATGGTCAGCCAAATACAGCGGCCAATGTTTGTACCGAACCATACTGAAATAAGAAAGTTCTTGAAAGTGTCAGCCGACTCTAAAAACCTCACAATCGGAAAAACTATTCATGCCCATTTGATTGTATCCAATCAAGATTCACGAGATAACGTAATCGAGAGAAATTCTTTGATCAATCTGTACTCGAAGTGTGGTGAAATTACAATTGCTCGCCAATTGTTTGATAGAATGCGCAAAAGGAATGTTGTTTCGTGGGGAAGTTTAATGGCTGGGTACTTGCATCATGGTTTGGCCTCTGAAATTATTGGGTTGTGCAGGAATATGGTAAAAGTAGACAAGTTATGCCTGAATAAGTACATATTAGCGACGGTTATTTCGTGCTGTTCTCATTATTTGTTGCTAGATGAGGCCAACAGTGTCATGGACCATGGTTATGCTTTGAAGTCTGGATTGATTTTTCATCAGTATGTAAATAATGCACTTGTGCCCATGTATTCAATGTGGTCGAATTTGAAAGGAGCTATGCAGGTTTTGTATTGGGCCCCTAGATCAGATTTGTGTACCTATAATTCTATTTTAAATGTGCTGTTAGATCATGGATATATGAGGAAAGCATTTGAGTTTTTGTGCAGATTGGCCGCAGAATACGAGCGTTTGGAGTGGGATAGTATTACTTATGTTAATATTTTTGGGCTTTGCTCTCGCCTTGGTGATTTGACTCTGGGCCAACAAATTCACAGCACAATGCTCAAAACTGGTGTTGAGCTTGATCTGTTTGTTGGTAGCTCGGTCATAGACATGTATGGAAAATGTGGAGAAATTTCGTCCATGAGAAATTTTTTTAAAGGCTTGCAAACTAAAAATGTGGGCACGTGGACAGCAATATTGGCTGCTTATTTACAGAACGAGTGCTTTGAAGAAGTATTGAAACTATTTCTGGAAATGGAACTCGAGCATATTTTGCCAAATGAGTACACATTTGCAGTGTTTTTGCACTCGTGCGCTGGTTTGTCAGCACTTGGTTTTGGTAATTCACTACATGCAAGCATCATGAAGATGGGGATGAAGAATCACAGTATTGTGAGTAATATTTTGATCCATATGTATTCAAGGTGTGGCCTGATTGAAGATGCTTGTATCGTCTTCACAAATATGACTTGTCGAGATGTTATATCTTGGAATTCTATGATAACTGGTTATTCTCATCACGGGCTTGGTAGTGAAACCTTGGCTGTGTTTCACGAGATGCTAGCAGCGAAAGAGCAACCAAACTATGTAACTTTTGTTGGGGCACTCTCTGCCTGTGCCTTGTTGGGAAGAGTAAATGAAGGTTTCTACTATCTGAACCATATGATGAGAGAGCTTGGCATTGAACAGGGGTTGGAGCATTACACCTGTATTGTTGGACTTCTGGATAGAGCAGGGAGGCTTGATGATGCTGAGAATTTCATGCGATCAACTCCAATAAAATGGGACATTGTTGCCTGGAGGACTTTGCTCAATGCTTGTTATGTGCATCATAATTATCATTTAGGAAATCGAGTTGCAGAAACTGTGTTGCATCTGAACCCTGAAGATGTGGGAACTTGTATCCTGTTGTCAAATATGCATGCCAGGGCAAAGAGGTGGGATGGAGTTGTGGCAATGCGGAAGTTAATGAGAGAAAGGAACATAAAGAAAGAGCCTAGATTGAGCTGGACAGAAATAAGAAATGACACACATGTATTTGTTTCTGATGACAACGAACATCCAGAGGCTGTTCTTATTCGTGAAAAAGTAAAGGAGCTTTTGCCTGAAATTAAACCACTGGGTTATGTCCCAGCTATAGCTTGTGAATTGCGTGATGTGGAAGAGGAACAGAAAGAATATTACCTCGGTTATCACAGTGAGAAGTTGGCTATAGCATATGCACTTTTGAAGACACCCCCAGGGGCACCTATTCGCATCATTAAAAACCTAAGGATGTGTGATGATTGCCATTCTCCCGTTAAATTTATCTCAAAGGTCACAAACAGATTGATAATTGCAAGAGATGTCAGCCGTTTTCATAGTTTCAGGGAGGGATGCTGTTCCTGTGCAGACTACTGGTGAGATATAGGCTCAGCTTGGGGAAAAATATTTCATGATATTTCAGGGATGCCACTTAAACCATCCAGCTCCCAGTGGAGGGGATTGCATATAGCTAATCTAGGTAATTTATACTGTCGGGCATTTGTAAATTGGTCGCAAGGTTTTTGCAGAAATTATCAATTCATAAACCTAATATCCTTCCATATCCTCTTCCTCAAATAAGGCAACTTATAAGTTAAGAGAAGCAATGATCTGCCAATTGAATAACAAATTGAACAATCTAGTACCTTGGTTGGATCGATGGCCAAAGCAATTCTAATAACTATTTTGAGGGTCAACCAACCCACCCAAGAAACAACATAAGAATTCCTAGTTCACATTTTAAGTTAGGAACCATCCAACCAAGACTTGGCCTGAAAAACTGATTGAGCAAAAAAAAATTTAACTATTGAAGGCTAACCAACATGAGCAAGAGTGAGTCAACAGTTAAATTCTGTGAAATATGTGACTTTGACATTGGATTTGCTTTTAGTTCTTACAGTAGTAACTTCTTTCATTAGGTTTTATTTTTGCTAATTTTAAGGATTCTCCCTCATCTGGTAAATCACTAATTCTGTGAACTGAATGTTAGTTCAATGACTTGCAAAATTGAAGCTCACTGAAATCTATAATGAAATCAGGGCATGAATTTACACTCTACCAGACCTAAAATGGAATAATTGAAATTTTATAGATGCTGTCAAAATTTTGTTTTGAGATAGTAAACCATGTAATCCTTAAAATGCATTAAAACCAGAAATTTGGAGAACCTGGTTTCCATCAATTTTTGCCGTCTTTATTGTGCTTCACTACTATGAAACAAGAGATGTAAAGTAAAGAGGAATGCTCATATTCATTCACGATTTCATTGGGTTTTTTCCAGGCTTTTTTTTTTCCCCTCGATGTTTTTGAACTGTGGACGGAGGTAACTGACAAGTGGTTGAATTGGTTGGGTATAGTGCTCGAAGTATTTGAGGAGGAGAATTCCAAGATTGAACTTATGGCTTGGACATAAAACGCAATCAGTACAAGTACAAGGCATTACTTTGGATGTTGATTCAGTTTGTAAAAATATTATATACCTTTTTTGGACGTCAAGTTTGCATTGTATGCTCTCTTGAAGGAAGCAATGGTTTCTACTTGAAAGTGACTACAACTTAACAGTACCTTTCATTGGCTGACGGTTTATGGACGAGGCTTGGTAATTGTAAAGGACCTCTCAGCTCTCTCTACACAGCATTTGCTGCATAATTTTCTCGGATCAGTTGGCAGAATTGAAATCAACAATCATATTAGAATGTCATCCATAGACATCCAGTGTTCAATCTTTATATTCCTGAAGACGAGCCAAGGTGAGCATATCAGGAGAGTTTAAAGCATCAATTGATGGGGTGTCACACGGTATCGTCCTGTCTACTGGATAGTTAAGATGTTTGTGTACAAGTTCAGCACCAGTTACTTTGCCAGAATGTGTAGTCTCTTTACTATGACAATGACAATGGTTATATTCAGCATTTAATCGTTCTCTGGTCAGTAAGGATCAGATTTAATGAAGTTGCAGCTACAGGTTAGTATTTTGATGAAATATCTTCTTCAAATATTGATAAATGATGAATATGACAGTTGGATGAATTCGATAACATTTATGAGAGGAACAAAGAGGAGGAAAGCCATTAGTTATAGTAACTTTGATAAAATCATGGTAATATATGTTATACGTACTGGATTAAGTGGAAATCCATAATGATAAGTGTAGTTTTTATACTTATTCGGGCTCCTAAATATGATATTTTGTCATTCTTTGGACGAATTTGTGCCTAACTTGTTATTTATAGTTATTATTGTGAAAAACTCATGTTTGGATGAAGAATTGAAAGAAATAATGGAAAAGGACTAAAACGAAGTAAATCCAAAATTCGGGGACTAAAGATTAAATACTCAAAAGTTGTTTCGGACCTTACGATAAATATATTTGAGAGTGCTAGGGGTCAATTATTTGAGGAAATAAGTCAAAGGGATAAAGTATAGTCAATGTATTATTACACATTAACTTTCAGCTGGAAAAGTTATGATTCGAATTTTCAACCTCATATTGAAACTCAATTTTGGCAAAGAAAACATTTGAATTGGAAAAATGATACCTCTAGAAGAATTGTAGCCCTCTGAGTGAGCTTTCCAATGCGCTTTAAATCACTTCAATTGGATATTGAAAGGGAAATTTATAATAAAAATACTAAAAACTATTCGACTATCTAAACTTAGGAGGCACGCGGCTTGCCTGCAGGAGAGGCACGTACCCCAACAAAAAATGAGTCGATTGAGGCATCCCAATCGGCCTCGGTACAAAAATGAAAAAAATCCGATTTTTCCTAGTGGTAACAATTCAATACAATTTTTTTGGCATCGTTTAAATACCAAAGCTCGACTAGAACGCGGGAAACCTCCATTTGATTTAAATTTCTCATATTCGACATATTTTGGAGCAAAGAACAAGTCTATGCATCAATTCAAGGCAAATCATACAAGGATTTTGAAGATTCATAGCCCGTTTTCAAGATTTGAGCTAAGAACGTGGATTTCTCCTACTTCTTCCATATTTCTTATTTCTTGGCGATATTTTTTCAAGTATTCTTGTGTAATTTAATTATAAGAATGTGTCTTAGTTTTTTATTGTATTTGATAAATGATGAACCTTATTATTTGTTTATTTTAATTCAAGATAATTAGTTTAGTATTTATTGATTGGTTTTGCATTTCTATTGAATTATTTAACTATTTGATCACCAATTAAATAGTAAATTGCTTGTTTTAATGTAGAAATACAGACAATAAGTTTAGAAGGTTCTAAATCAAGACATGAGCAATAGGTGTTAGGTAATCATGTGTGATAAATCCTTTAAATCAATACATGTTTTTCATATGAATTCAGACTAGGAATAATATCAAGTCATGTTAAATATAAATTTAATATATCTTGAAAAATAATATTGAATAAAAGTGGATTATCGATCGATTTGAATGCATGATTTTATTAGGTTACGAATTAAGAATTGAATTAAATAGCAATAAGAAAATTCACAATTCCTCATGGGATCAATAAACTTGAAAATCACTGATTTTGATTCCGTACTCTTACAGGTTGCAACGTAACACACAATGATACGTCTGTGAAAAGAATGTGTTGAATTTGAAAAATGACAAACAACTAGACAAAATAAAAAGATAAAGAAGAAACGTTGAACTTTGAAGTCTGTTAAGTTTCAACTAAAATAAAACAATAATGCATTAAAAGAAATGTTATCAAAATCAGATCGGACCGGCCGATTCAACCTTAAAACCGGTCCGACATCCAGTTCGGTTAATGCTCAAATTCTGTTAAATTTAATACCGGTAAAATTCGACTCTAAACCATAAATCAAATGACCCGTTACCGGTTCTTCCGGTTTTGTCCATTAGATAATTAAATTAAATGTTATTGTTTTATGGTTTCAGCCTGCCATAATTAAAGGCCCATAACAAATACATAATGTGGCCATTAGCCTGCACTTACATAGAAGTGATCTTCAAGAGATTTGATATCAGATTCCGATGTGGGATTCATGAAAGGATGCTGAGTTGGTAAATAGTTTTCCAACTATAAAAGTTGAATAAATTAAAAAAGCAGTAGCTCTAACCAAATATATGGGATTTTTTTATAAATACATTGGCACAATAAAATACTATAGAAGTATTAAACAATTCACTTTATGACAAAATAAAAATTAAATGTACCCAAATGTAATTGTTAATAGGTGTTTTTGTCTCTACATGAATTAATTTGAAAAATTAACTTAATTTTGTCAATTTTTATGATATAATATTTATTTATTTATTACAATCGGTTCGATCTCGCTTCGACCACGATTCGACCTTTCAACCCTCGACCCTTTAACTTTTTCAGGTCAACAGTCGGGTCGGTTTTTAAAATATTGATTAAAAGCTACACTCAACTAATTTTACAAATTCATTAAAATTTATTCTCCCATCTCCATTTTCATCAAAAACCCTAATCATTCTCCTGCAGTTCTCTATCTCTGATCCTTCCTTTAAGCACAGAGAACATAGAACCGTTTGCAAATCTCTTGCATCAATAAATCCATCTTTGTTCTGGTCAAACACATCAAAAGCTAATTTCACTTCATCCAAACAAGGATTCTTCTCTCCAAACATGTCTAAAACATCGTTAGCATCCAATTTTTCTGGAAGCTCCCCTCCTTCTGGACTGCAAAAAATCCCCATACTTCTTAGAACTATTTCTATATCTCCTTTGTACACACTTCCATCAACCATCTTCTCTCTGAAGGACGGTTTCTTCTTGGATAAGTCAAAATCCTCGTTCCTTCCAGCCTGGACTTTGGAATCACTGAACCTAATCAATCGGGATTGGATTGAAAATTTGCATTCTGATAAAAAACTGCAGATTTTCTTCCTGTTCAGGATTATGTGGAGCGAGAGGAAATCGATCAATCCAAGAATCAGACCGATACGTTGAATTGTATTCATCGATATGTTCTCTAGGGGCAATTGATTCAAATAAATGAGAGACATGGCTAATGATTTTCTCTAAATGACGAAAGGATTAGAATGTTTAAAAAATATATCTTAAATGCAGATGAAAACCAGATTACTGGAAATGATATGATGAAATTGAAGATGAGAAGGGGTTTATATGCATCATGATGGAAACTGGAAAGTCTTTGGAAATTGATGGCTTTCAAATTTGAGGAAGGTTCTTGTGAGGTGCAGTCTAAGTCTTTTAAAGAAGGTGTCAAAAACATGAAGAAATTGTTACTCCAAGAAAATGTACAAGGAAGTTTCTTTGTTACTGCGCTTTGTAGAAGTTGATGGGTTTAGAGCCAGTTGGCCTGATTTTATTGGTGATATTTTATGTGGAATTTATTAAGAAATTGCCCCGACTTTTGGACTGGTTGACTTTTGCAAATTGCTTCGGTATTTCCTTGACTTGAAGCTTCTTTAAAGGTCCTTGACCCAATGAACAAGAATTAGAAATTCTCCTTAGCAGCCTGTCGTTGTTGGCTTGAGTTATTATTATACGTTTTTAAAAAATTTTGCTCGTGTATTTTTTCTTTATACTAGTCCCTATTACGTGCGTTGCTCGAATTTTGTATTTATCGTATTTTTATTAGTATATGAATTTTAGTTTTTTTGGAAAGTTTTTGAAACAATATCTAAAAATATTTCCATGATATAAGAAAATAATTATAAATTATTTTTACAATTTCATAGCAATATGTTATCTAGAAAAAATATGCTTGTATATTTTATATTTGAATAAGAAATTTACAAACTATTTTGCTTGTATTCCTTAATAGTGTTGATATGATTGAATTGAATGTGAAGATTATATTTCTAAATTTTGTATAATTCAATATTGTAAAATTGAAAAAAAAAACTCTCTGCACAATATGGAGAGAGTTGAACCAAGTGCGGAGTAAAAATAAAAAAAGGTACGGAGAGAAAAACTTCTCCACACAGTGCGAAGAGAGTTAAACCATGTGCAGAGAGTTGACAAACTCTTGGCGTAGTACGGAGGGGAAAAAAAACTCTCCGCACTGACAAACTAACTCTCTTCACAGTACGGAGAGCAAAAAACAAAAAACTCTCTACACTGTGCGGAGAGAGTTAATCTCTTCGCACAGTGCGAAGAGTTGGTCCACACCATGGTAAAACTCTCCGCACGATACAAAGAGAAAATAAACTCTCCGCACAGTGCGTAGAGAGTTGAACCATGTGCGGGGTAAAAAAAAGTGCGAAGAGAAAAAAAACCTCCGCACAGTGCGAAGAGAGTTGAACCATGTATGAAGAGTTGGAAAACTCTTCGCATAATGCGGAGTAAAAAAAATTCTCTGCACAGTGCGGAGAGATGACAAACCAGCTCTCCGCACAGTACAAAGAGAAAAAAACTCTTCGCACAGTGCGGTGAGTTGTTTTCAAATTTCTTAATTACAAGTCAAATTTCAAGATTATAAATTTTTCGTATATACAACGAAACAGAGTCGAAAAATATGGCCCAAAATCAATTATGTCCTTTTTAAATTACAGTCACAGCTCAATTTCTGAGCATACAAATCATATTTACGGTATTGGAAAAGAGTTTTCTCGTTATTTATACAATAAAACAATATGTGAGTTGTGCAAAGAAGAGGATATTGATAGTACCATGACATTGCTTTCACAAATGGAGGTTATATGGTACCACCCAAATTCAATATTTTACATTTGCTTGATAACAGGTTTTGGACATTAGAAGCGGATACAATTTTTAATGAAATTATACTTTCGGGTTGTAGGCCAAGAATTAAAGTGTTCAATGCATTGCTCAAAAGTTGTTTGAGAAAATGCTTCTTGGAACTTGCAAGTAAAGTTCCGAAAGTTTTTGTTTTTCTCTTCACACTATGCAGAGAGATAGTTTGCCATCACTCCGCACTTTGCGGGGTCTTTTTTTTTTCTACTCATGTGCGGAGATATTCTTTTTTTTTTTTTTTTTTGGGTTT